GGGGACTTCAATGCTTTTGCAGGCAGTGAAAGTAATGAAGACAAGTTTTCAGAAACTACACAAGGTTACAAAAACATAGAGTTGATCCATTCTAACATGCAGAAAAAACTAGTTCCTGAAATAGGCATGGAGTTTGAGACAGAAGAAGAAGCCTTTAAATTTTACAATGCATATGCATATGGTGTTGGTTTTAGTATTAGACGAAGTAAATTTCATAAAGAGAAATGTGGGAAGTTGAGAGACAGACTTTTTGTTTGCTCTGCTGAAGGTAAGCGTGAAAAGAATAAGTGTGATGGCAGTGTGAAATCTCATCGTGCTGAGACAAGATTTGGATGTCTAGCAAGGATGAAAATTAGTTGTCGGCTAAATGATAAGTATTGTGTTACTGAGTTTGTGCCTGAGCATACGCATGTTACTTCTAGTCCTTGTAAGACCCATTTTTTTAGGTCACATAGGAACATGTCTCTTGCACAAATAGTTGAAGCTGATATGGCCGATAGTTCGGGAATTGCTCCAAAAGCAACTCTAGAACTTCTGAGTAGACAAGCCGGTGGACGTCAGAATCTTGGATTCATTCCTGTAGATTATAAAAATTATTTACGTTCAAAGCGTACAAGAGAAATGAGGGTAGGAGATACAGGGGGCCTGTTAGAATATTTACAACAAATGCAATTGAATGATCCTAATTTCTTTTATGCTATACAAGTGGATGAAGATGATATGATTACTAATATCTTTTGGGCTGATGCAAGGATGATGGTGGATTATGATTATTTTGGTGATGTGGTATGCTTTGATACGACCTATAGAAAAAATAAAGAAGGAAGACCTTTTGCAATGTTTGTTGGTGTCAACAATCATAGGCAAACTGTCGTATTCGGTGCTGCATTATTGTATGCTGAAACAGCTGACACATTTATTTGGTTATTTGATACTTTTGTCAAGGCTATGTCTGGAAAAAAACCAATAAGTATTCTAACAGACCAAGATGCAGCAATGGCTAAAGCGTTGCTTTCAGAGTGGCCAGAAACATGTCACCGTTTGTGCATTTGGCACATATACCAAAATGCAGCCAAGCATCTTAGCAATGCTTTTGAGAAGTTCAAAAATTTTACCAAAGACTTCGGTAGATGCATATATGATTATGAAGATGAAGATGATTTTATAAACGCTTGGAATAACATGCTTGAAAAATATAATCTCAAGGATAATGATTGGTTGAGGCGATTGTTTAATATAAAGGAGCAATGGGCATTAGTTTATGGGCGACAAACTTTTTGTGCTGATATTACTACTACCCAACGCAGTGAAAGCATGAATAGTGCTTTAAAGAAGTATGTTAGTTACAAATATGATTTGCTACGATTTTTTCAACATTTTCAGAGGTTAGTTGAAGATCGTCGTTATCAAGAGTTGAAAGCTGAATTTAGAGCAAGTCAAAGTTCACCTGCATTGTCATTTCCAGTGGAAATATTAAAGCACGCATCAAATATATATACACCAGAAGTGTTTAAGTTGTTTCAAGATGAGTTGTGTAAAGCTCATGATTGTGTCTTGAAATTCAATGGTGAGATTGGAAGCATCAGCAAATATGAAGTTATCCCTCATAAGAAGTATTGGCACCACACAGTCACATTTGACTCAATAGATAATACGGTTTTATGTAGTTGTAAGAAGTATGAGTTTGCAGGAATCTTGTGTGCACATGCCTTAAAAGTCCTCTCTACCAGAAATATTAAAAATATTCCCGCTCAATACATCTTGAAGAGATGGACCAAAAATATTAAGGCTAAGAGTACAAAATCTACTTGCAATGTCTCTAGTGAAAATGACTCAAAAGTAGAAATTGTCAGGCGTTACAGAGAATTATGTCGGTTGCATACTCAGTTAGCAACACGAGCATCAGAGTCGAAAGATGCATATGAAACTGCTATATTAGGACTTAACAATACGTTGAGAGATGTGGATGCGTGTTTGAAGAAGAAAGCAAGTCAAGAACCAACTCAGGTGATCTCAAAAACTACCAGTGCATCTAAGCTTAATGAGTATATTTGTATTGACGATGATATCATTAAAGTTAGAGGAATCAAAACTAAGACCAAAGTTGTTGGCAATTCTAAAAGGCCAAAGAATGCTTTGGAAAAGCTCACAAAGAAGAAAAAGCCTCGAAATAAAGAAGAATGTGCTCTATTGGAACAGGTATTTTAATATATATTTTTTATTATTTAAAATTTATGATTGTTAATATTTGTTTTATTTTAACTCATTTTAAAATTTATGGTTTTGAAATAATGTTAGGAACCTGATTCTCACAATGAGACTATTCACATGCCAACCCAATCTCAAGCAACAATGGATATTTCACAGGTAATGTTTAAGTTAAATTTATCTTTTTTTTGGTGTCTATCTATGGCATTTCACAAGTAATGTTAAATATGTTACTGACTTAACTTATATATATTCTTCATGTGTGCTTCTTTGTATACTAGCAATACTACATAAGAACCCACAATACTTTGAGCAACTATCAACAAGGTCCAACTAGCATGATGAATTTATTGCAGGTAATTCCTTGTAATTGGTTACTACCTTTTGTTTTCTCGTGAATGAGTACTAACTTATTTCATTGTATACACATATATGCAGGCAGAATTACCACAAGAAGAAGAATTAAGCTTACTGAGCTCTGAAGGACTAGACTTGCTGAACTCTGAATTGACATGCAGTGCCAAGACACATGATATGTGCGTCCAAGATGTTGAATGAGAAGAATGTTGAAGAATTTTTCCTTCTTTTGGACTCAAAGTTTCTTTTAAGAATATTTGGTTATGACATTTGGAGCAAGCATGTATTTACCTTTTGTATTGTTAAAGACTTCATATGTATGACAATTTTAATGGGCATTTGATGTCATATATTATTGGAACAAAACCAGCGACT